ACACCGATTGAGAAATTAGAACTAATAGAAATGCAAAACGACATCATTGAAAAAAAAGGACTTGGTATTGACCATGTTACAACGAAGGAGGTAAGTACAGCCATAGAAAAACTTGAAGCAGGAAAGGCACCAGATAAAGTCGGAATATCAGCTGAACACTTAAAGTATGGGATGGAATAAAAAGGAAACTGAGATACTTCCAAGAAACCTATATAGAGACATGAGTTTTAAAATCAAATGGGAAGGACAATATATAGAAGAGGGGAGTGTATTGCAGGGAATACTAGTACAACAAAGTGCCAAATTATCAACTACTCTTTACAAATGTTATAACAGTGTAATACTGGATAGTTCTGTAAAAAGTGGCCTAGGAGCAAGTATTGGTGATATACAAGTCACAGCACCTACATATGCATATGCTATTGTTGTCCTAGCAAATAGCATAGAAGATGCACAATGAATTCTGGGTATAGTACAGTACCACACAAAAAGGGAATCTTGTGAAAATCAACCCAAATAAATCTGAAGTTGTATACCACAAAGACAAAAGTCCAAGATGTAACAGAACTAGTATTTGAAGAATATGCCATCAATAGAACACAAGAGACCAAACACCTTGGTATAAAGAGAACGAACAAAACCTAGTAGATAGGCCTATCTTAGAAAGAATAACTGGTAAGGCAACTAAATATGGTCTACTAGGAGCTGGTTTACATGTACGGAGGGTTTTTTACCAGTGGTAACGTTTAAACTATTGAGAACATGTGATGTACACAAATGCACAAAATGACTAAAGGTAATGAACCTACTTACGGAGGACAAAGAATGCTAAAATTGGCAGAAAGAAATACTCAAATACAAATACAAGGACTGTCAAGTAATACTTCAAATACGGATGTCGACACTCTTGTATTAGGAGGAAAACACATTAATATCACCATTTATTTCTCCAAATACTTAGAACAATTTGACAATAGTCCATCCTTACTATTCATTTTTTAAGAAATGGATGCCTGTAACATATTCTAATTGCTCATGTTTAAAAGTTGACTTTCTGTGGACGTCGCATGGCGACGTTTCCGTAGATTTAATTTTTTCCAGTGTATACTTCATCTGTTCATATAAACTGTGAACATTTTGTGTATATTTAAATATATTTAGCTATGTTAAAAGACGTGCATTATGTCAAATCATAAAAATACAAATTGTTCAGTCTCTAAGAAAACTTGTAAAAGAGAGGCGAAAAATACCACAGGGACATTCAAACTTACAAGTCGAAAACAAACCGACAACGCCTTTGCTAAAAAAGAAAAAGACCAACAGGCAAACAATAGTACACAAAACACAACATAGAAAACTAAAGACTAAGCAACACGAACCTCACCAAAAACTGGGGGTTATCTCAGGTTATCCGGAAGGGTAAGCAGATCCTGCTCCACATGTGGCACCCGTCGTGTTTCTCATGTTAGTTCAAATCCGGTAATAAGTCTAAATTAGTAGGTCAAATTCAAGGAAAAGGGGACGGATTGTAGATACGACATTTGGAACATATCCGCTATCATCTGTGAAACGTATATTCCATAACGGTCAACCAACTCGTGATGGCGTCCGTAAAATTTACGAAGGGATGATTTCAACTTCATCACTTGGAACTCTTGGTTTAATAGCTTCCTTGTGAGCAGCAAACCTCTATCAAGGAAATCATGATAGGAAATACAAGCTCTTGAATATCGTATCAACCGGGAGATATATACTCCGTATGCAGGCGCTGCTAGAATGTTGCTACACAGAAATGGAAAGTTCACAATTGGGAAGCTGAAATCATCTCTTTTGTCGTAAAGTTTTGTTTTCAGCCAACCCTCATTGTTAATTTCTAGATGTAAGTCAAGATAAGAGGCAGACTTAACTGTATCTGTTGTATTCGTTATCTCAAGTTCGATGGGATAGATGCTTTCAACATAGTCACCAAATTTTGAATTATTTAGTGAGAGAACATCATCTATATAGCGGAAAGTAAAGTTAAAAGATACTGCTAACTTCGTTTCTTTCTTCATAAGAAGTTCCTGTATGAAGTCAGCCTCATATGTATAAAGGAACAAGTCGGCAAGAAGAGGGGCACAGTTGGTTCCCATGGGAATGCCGATTGTTTGTTTGTAAGATTTCCGCTTCTGTTTTTGCTAAATGGGTGCAATTTAGGTACTGTGACGTTAGAGATGCAAGAGAACCTAAAAAACAAGCCCATAAGACTTGGGAAAGTGTGAAAAAAACATAAGACAGGAGATATAAAGGCAAGAATATCTACTGAAACATGCACATCTATTCCAAGCAAAAAGGGCCAAGTTTGATCCAAAAACAAATCCATTGTGTACAATATGAAGTAAGAAAAGAAAAGATCTGGAACCTTTTATTCTATTTTGTGCGGAACTGGAACAAATCAGATCAAAATACTGCTATAAAATCAAACAGATAATAGATGAGATTGACAAATTTGTGTAGGAGAACAATATAAATAAAGGCGAACTCCTTCAGCTTCTTATGGACAGTAATAGCAAGACATAGATTGTCATACAAAAAATGTGTGAAAATATAGAAAGCAAATCTAGAAATATGTGCTATGAGATGCACCAACATCTTACTGGATGAATGGAAATATGACCATGAGTACAGTACACGAGAGTCAAATGTAGATGAAATTTCAAACATTAACAGTTTTAATGTTTTAAAATGATAAAAGCCGCCGTTCAGAAGATAGTTATGATTTTTGGCTTTTTTTATCCAAAGATTATGTTTTTACATAATGGTGATTACGACATTAATGTTAATCTCTGTATATAAAGTGCATTTCTATGTATTGAAAGAGGGGCCTCGGTAGCCGAGTGGTCTGGGTAGTCAACTATTGCATCGCTGTCAACACTGAGGTTGTGATCTCGATGGCTTCCTCAACCAATAAAAACGGATCACCACGAAATAGACAATAATGCTAAAAGTGGCGTTAAACAACAACCAATAAACCAATCAATAAATGTATTAAAAGTATGCTTAATTAATATGCTTTCACCTGTTGCTGATCTAGTCATCTATGTAAATTTTTTTGTTTAGAAAGTATGCTATATTTATACTTTTGTTTCTGATGATGCTGATCTAGTCATTAATGTAAATCTCTATGTATAGAAAGTATGCTTCTGTCATATAATTTCACCTTGAAAATGTATGACCTTCTTTTAACGCAAGACATATATGGTGATTTAGAAATTAATGTTAATCTCTGTATATAAAGTATGCTTAATTAATATGCTTTCTACTGTCGCTGGTCAAGTCATGAGTGTATTTCTATGTACTGAAAAACGGACCTCGGTGGCCGAGTGGTCTGAAAAGTCCATCTACTGTATTGTTAGCCTGTCAGCACTGGGGGTATGAGTTCGAAACCCGCACGTGGCAGAGGCTCGACTCGAATCTTAATTTACTATGATCGTCAGTTTTTCTACTGAAGGACGGTGGTTCTCTCCGGCTTTCACCACAAACACAAATTTATCGCCACGAAATAGCCAATAGTGCTTAAAGTGGCATTAAACACCGACCAATCAATCAATGTATTGAAAGTATGCTTAATTAATATGCGTTCACCTGTTGATGATCTAGCCTTAAAAATTAATTTCTATGTATGGAATGTATGCTATATTGATATGCTTACCACGATGCTGATCTAGTAGTTTATGTAAATCTCTATATATAGAAAGTATACTTCTGTCATATACTTTCACCTTGGAAATAGTATAACATATATGACCTTCCTTTAACACAAGACATATATATGTATGCCAATTATTGCATGGAGGCTACCCAAATATGTAATTGAGACAAAACAGTTTACAGTGACTGTTATCTTGCATGGTGAACTGTTCTGAGTTTAATGTAGAGGATATCATACCATAATATTTTAATGAGGTAAAACTGGCTACAGTGACTGGTATCTTGCATTGTGACCTGACCTGGCGTTGATGAAGAGGATACCTAAATATGTTAATGAGGTAAAATAGTTTGCAGTGACGAAATAGTAATTTGTACAATTTAAATTCAGATAATGTCTCGTAAAATCAGCATATCTCCTAAACTTGATATATGGAATGATGGATTATGCATGTTCAGGTATATACAACCTTATACAGGATTGCTTACTCAGAAAGTATCAATGGGCCATTTCTAAAGGAATAGAGTTCAAACAGCAACATACAAGAATAGAAAACTATACTATAAGCAAAGAATTATTTGAATCAAGAATAATTTTGAATTCTGGAAAATTGATAAAAAAGTATGATGAAAACTAGCCCAACTAAATAGGGTAAGCCATGTGTGCACTATTTAGTTGGGTTAGTTTTCATCATACATTTCTTAGCAATTTTCCAGAATTCAAAAATATTCCAGATTCAAATAAATCCTTGTTTATAGATGATGACCTTGAAAATGTAATGTCCTCAGGCTTGCTGTCAAATTGGGTTGTCACATTGTTGGACTGATGTCACTAGAGCATTTGAGAAACTGGCTTTTTTATGTTATTAGATTTTTTCTGAGGAAACCTAGGAAAAATGTACTTCCAGTATCTTGGCAATATATTAGTTTGTATAGGAAAAGGCTGTTTGCTAATTTTTTAGGCAATGATCATAGCATACTATATTTGTTAAAAGATCACGTTCAACTGATAATAAAATATATGCTATAATTTTATCATGAGACACAGTTTCAGTTTAATTTGATTTAAATGAGAGTGAGTTTTAGTTTTCATTTTACCTTTGATGGTAACTTGGAATAGTCAGTGACTGGTACCACTAAAGTGCTATTGTTGTTTGGTTTGTGAAGGAATGATGTAGTATAGATATATCAAATGTGGTAATTAGATGTGAATATTTCAAGAATAAAGGAAAACAAGACAAAATTCACTCTTTTGTTTTGCTTTGGTATAACCTTTTTTTTATTCCCCTACACATAAGAGAAAAGACTAATAGTTGCAGGTTAAAATATTCTTTAATATTCTAGTACAAGCAAGAAACATTACATATTCAGAAATATAAAGTGTAAAAATTCAAAATGAATATTAGTAAATATTTTTAAAATCAAATAAATGTGCACTGTTGATTTATTTTTTATCATCTTGCAATTAATGTAGAAGATTATTGTTTTTGTTCCCTCATTAAAATTGCCATAACAGTTAAACAGTATATATAAATGCACCACTTTTGAGGCTGTTCACCATTAAAGAAAATCATACAATTTCTATAAATTGTCAGTGTCCAAGTAGTAAAATTTTGAACTCAAAATGTGTGCATTTAAATATACAATTTAGCAATATTTTATCAATTGCTGTGTAGGTATGGACTTCAGGAAATGAATGAAAGAGTACCCAGCTTTTGTATAATTGAATTCAAATTGTTATCACACTAACTTACCGACCCCATATAATCTACAAATTCAACTCCTGTGTAAAACTGTATTTAAGTCAATGACAAATGACCTTTTTCTAATAGGGCCCCTGGGGTTACTGCTACACACGCCCAGGATGCATTGTCTTAGCATATTATATGTATTCAAGAACTGAAATCAGACTTTAAACTTTATCTTAGTTATCATACAGCAAATTCATCTAATAGCTACACAATTTTGATGGTGGGGACATGGACTACCATAATTTGCTTAAAACTTACTCAAAACAAGTGAACCATGCAATATAGGGTTTGTAACATTCATCTTAGCCTACTATGTATACAAGATATAATTGTCCATCAAATCAGATAAATATATGTCAATCTGTGAACTGGTTGTGTATGCAGACATGAATGTTAACATTGATGGCACTCTGATCATCCTCATTCACTTCAATGTATAAATCCAAATAAAAATAGTGAAAATAACAAATAAACATCAACTTAATAATAAAAGGTAATACAAAGTAAGCATTCAGTAATTCTACAATTCTCTTTGGTTAATGTAAATTCCTTTGGTCCCTAATTTGGTTTATAATCTGTTTTATACAAACCTCACCAGTAAAGCATTTTCTATAGTTAATATATTTAAATATTGTAATAAAACTTTTTTTTGTACATTTTTTGTCATTATACTCTATCAACAATACTCTATTTACAATCAATAAATCAGTACAAAAATCTTGATGTTTTGTCATTCACTATACAAATCATTTTATTAAGTTTATAAGAATAATTATTATTATTCATTTCGGTATTTTTCTCAGTATTTTATTATTTATTAAATTTATATGAATTATCATTATTCCATCACATGTATTTTTTTCCTTCAAAATTTTCATATTACACAAAACATTAAAAGCGTGAGTCACCTTGGTCAATTTAGTAACTATTGCAACAATTTATCTATAAAAATTTTCAAACAGTACCTGATAAATAAAAATGTATGGTAATCATTTATAGCATCATTGTGATGTTTTTAATGTGAAGATTAATTTAAAACAAATAGTTTCTAACTGATGTTGAAATTCATAGAAATAAGTACAGGAAGCAGGAAAAAGGTCAGTATAGGAAACACCAGTCACATGATCAGTTTAGAATTTGATAAGCCTCTTATCAATATACACCTTTCTGTTATAAATAATAATTGGTAGAAGGCTGTGACCAATACTTTCAGAAAGAAAACTGAACTAAATTAACCATTAAAAAAAAGATTTGGAAATTGTGATATTGTTGATTCCTCTAAAGATGGATCATTGATATATATTTCCTCGAATGGAACTTTCTTATACCTTGCTAAAATGTAGATTTTACCATGTTTTTTTCAAATATTAAATAAAAAGTATGAGTCCACCCTACTATTTTTCAAGCTAAAAATCGTGCAAAATTGCCCACTTTTGCATAGATTATTCATGAAAAAAAACACTTTTTGGTGAATAAAATAAATCTATGAGATAGAATTTTGAAATGAAATATGAGAAGATAGTTTTATAATATGCTTTAAGAAAATAAAAAGAACAAATTGTGTCACTGCTCTTGTTTTCTTGCTACAAGTAAAAAATGAAAATTTTATTTGGTATTTGTCTAATTAATGCAACAAATCATTTAATTTTCTTTATTTGCATAGCTCAAATTGCAGAGAATATTTCACAATCCACCGGAATCTGCAGTTTACAGAAAATATCATAATGTGAAAAATTCTTTGCCTTCTCATGAACAATGCATGTATATTGTTAAATAAATACACCAGAGACAGTGACAATGGACTTATGATGTCAAAACAAACATAGGGGACAAAATACTACTGAAAACTTGGTTTTTGTGAAAAATTATGATTTACTATTGATAATTAACAAAACTGCAACCTTACTGATGAACAGTTTTCTTCTTTTATAATTTCTAATATCTTAATGTAGTAACAATCAGTTGTGGTAATTAGCTTATGCAATTAAGGATATTTTTTTCATATAGAAGATCTGGAAAATGACTAAGTTTTTATTTCTTAAGCAATTAAAAAGTGCAATTAAGGATTATGTTTATATGAACAAATATACAATAAAGGATTATGCAGTTAACAAGAATATAATCAAGGATTATGCCAAAATAGAAGAAGTGTGCAAAAAAGATCATGTCACTAACAGGTAAGCAATATATGATTATGTAATTAACAGGTATACAAAAAAAGATTATGCAAATAAAGAAAAAGTATGCAATAAATGATTATGTAATTAACAGGTATGCAAAATAGGATTATGCAATTTCATAGGTATGCAATAAAGGACTATGTAATTAACAGGTACCATGATTTTCTTGAATAAAAAACAATTTCTAAAAAACTTATATCTAATATGAAAATACTTAATATAAAAAAATATTTCAATGGAATATACAATTGTTCAATTAACTTGTCATATATAAAAATAACTTGTATCTGCAGAAATTTGACGACATTATTTCTATATTTGAAAAATCACATGATCATTCCAGCTTCACAATACCAGGGAGCAGTGCTTGTATCCTCCACTTCTTTAACATAAACAAAAATTTCTCCCTGACTTGGACTTCTCTGTAGATCAAGAAATTCATTGTTATCGTCCAATAGAACAAACTTTGTTACACCCATTCTATCATGAATCTGGTAAAAGAAAAGAAATCTAAAGTTATTATCAAATAGAACAAACTTTGTAATACCCATTCAATATTTTAATCTGGAAAAGAAGAATAATGAAATTCAAATTTATCATCTAATAAACAAACTTTGTATCACCAGCTTGATCATGAATAGGTAGAAAATATTGATTGATTGTTGGTGTTTAAAGCCACTTTCAGCACTTTTGGCTATATCAGTGTTTATTGATGGAGACTTTCAGCACTCTTGGCTATATCAGTGTTTATTGATGGAGACTTTCAGCACTCTTGGCTATATTAGTGTTTATTGATGGAGACTTTCAGCACTCTTGGCTATATCAGTGTTTATTGATGGAGACTTTCAGCACTCTTGGCTATATCAGTTTTTATTGATGGAGACTTTCAGTACTCTTGGCTATATCAGTGTTTGTTGACGGAGAGAGCCTGGGAACCCAGAAAAAACCACTAAATTTTGGCAGGAAAATTTGCAATCCTAGTCAATTAAGATCAGAGTTGAACGCAACTGCTACAGTCAGCATTCCAACTGACAACCTTAATGTTTACAAGGCAGCATTCCATCTCACAACCTTAATGTTTACAAGCTAATGATCACTGTAGATGAACTACTTAGACCACTTGACCACCGAAGCCCCTGGAAGTGATCACTGTAGATGAACCACTTAGACCACTTGACCACCGAAGCCCCTGGAAGAGATCACTGTAGATGAACTACTTAGACCACTTGACCACCGAAGCCCCTGGAAGTGATCACTGTAGATGAACCACTTAGACCACTTGACCACCAAAGCCCCTGGAAGTGATCACTGTAGATGAACTACTTAGACCACTTGACCACCGAAGCAAGAAAATAAGAAAGATATTGTAATAGAACAAACTTTGTATCATCCATTCAATCATGGGTAGAAAAGAAAATATATTAAATGTTGTTTCAGTTTTGTCTGCTATAGTATATATACAGAAATATCAATAATGTGATTGTATGTGATTGTCCACTACATGTTTATCTTCTTAAAGAGTTGAAACTAATTGATATTGTTTACTTATATATTTCAATATAAAAAGAGCAATGTTTTGAAAGTAGATATGGCGGGAAATATACATGCAACAAAATAAATCAATGTATGGTGTATTAAAACTTTAATATCAAACAGGTAAGAAATAGTTTAAAATAGAATTACAGATCTTACATGTTCAGAGCATTCCTTCTCAATTATTTCTTTCCACTGTTGTTTGACCAGCAGTCCTGGTATCTCCATTGTAAATGTCTCCCCTGGTTTATAATGTACAGTCAACCTGGATGCATAATGATCTGTTAAAAAAGGAATTTAATGTATGAAAATTAATAACAAAATACACTGACAACTTGGGGGAAAACAATGATAATCAATTGATAGATTGACCAGCATAGTGAACTGGCACTTGCTATGAAGACAGTACAGTGTTTGGTAGTCGTTTATACTTTATATAGTCAGAAACTCTCTAAACAAATAACCAACATACATGTATGATCAAAACTCTACGGTGCACCATGATCTCTATAAAATTGTATTTAAGAAAAATATCTGTACAAACAAGAAAAAGGAGCGAAATGTTTTCACCAAATCATAAGTACTATTCACCTTCATTGTGTTTTATAATTTAAGTGGTGAAAAAAGTAATGTCAACACACATGCAAATTTGTTTCAAAACCTTTGGAAGCACAGTACATTGTGGGTGTGAATACTCAGGTATGGGGTCCGTTTGTGCCCAATACACGTTCGCCCCCTGTGTCTGTTCGCACCCTTTTTTATTCAAAAACCTGATGAATTATTAGATGTTTTTTTTAGATGTTTATATCAAAATATTTTTACTTTCAAAAATAAATATTCAGGAATTTTTAAATGAAATATTGTTTTAAATTGATCTGATGATTAATTATTATATGTTAATTATATATGATTACTGTTAATACGCTGTGTACACAGCTAAACTTTGTGTTATTGTTATGTGTTTGAAAATCTTAATTGTTGTTTTAACTAGCTTTGATGTAAATTCTGCATGTAGTTTACTGTTAGCATGTATTTAGCTTGGTATGAGTAAAAACTATGAAGATTCAAAATGTTATTGTTGTTGAGTTTAATAGTGATTTGGTATCTTAACATTAAAATAATATTCAACACAAAAAACCTTTTTAGAAAGTCACTTTATTTTGAAACAATGAAAAAAATAATATTTATAGCAATACACTAACCAAAACACGATTAAAAAAATATTCAACACCAAAAACGTCACTTTATTTTGAAACAATGAAAAAAAAATATTTATAGCAATACAATAACCAAGACACGATTAAAAAATTATTCAACACAAAAATCGTTTTTAGAAAGTCACTTCATTTTGAAACAATGAACAAAAAAAATATTTATAGCAATACACTAACCAAATCAAAGAGCTGAAAGCTCTAAGTAAAAATGACGCCATTGTCTCTCATATTAGGATATTTTTGATGCAAGTCTTGATTTTTACATAATTTACCTACTGAATCTTAGGCGACGTTTCAGTTTATGGTAGGTAGGGTAACTGATAGAATAAATATGAATTGTTTCCACAATCTATAGCGTTTTTATTTGTTTGTCAAGATATATATATATATGTGTGTGTGAAGTGAAAATAACTACTAGTTGTTCTGCTGTACAAAGAAATAGCTCAAGACTACCTGAACAATCTACAATATTCAAAGTAATATGTGAATTTGTTTCCCTTATTTGTAGAATTATCTAACAAAATGATTATGAAGAGCCTGTAGTAAGAAAGCTCTTATACCAAACATAGTCCTTATTCAAGAGATGAGTTACAGGTGACCTAGTGACATAATCACATTGTTATTTCAGTTACCTAAACGTGATCAATTTCTGTAGATTTAGACAATAGTATTGTTATACTAGTTTCACAATTACAAACAATGTGACACCATTTATACAACTTAATTTCATTGTGAAGAGCCTGTAGTAATCAAGCTTACACTGAAATCTTAAAATGACAACATAAATTATTGCAAAATTATTTTTTTTCAAATGATTTAATGTTTAGTACCGTAGTCATTTATTTCAAATAATTGACCCGTAATAAAATAAGGAGATGGGGTGTGATTGCCAATGAGATAACAGTCTGAGGTACTATCTACCAGAGTCCAAACAGTGTGGCTGTTGGCAGTTATAAGTCACTTTCAGACCTCAACAATGTACCAAACCGGTTTATTGTTTTCATGTACCACAGGAAAAAGAGGAGTTGTGGCCAGGTGCTGCCAGGATTTAAAACTATTAGAATTACACAGTTTTGTCTGCATTCAGAGAAAATTTCATGGTGTAAACACAGCCATTTTTGTTGGTGTATATTAGATGAACCTTAAAGGTGGATTATCAGATTATTGGTCACAGGAATATTAAAGTGATTGTTGACTTTTCAAATATAAAAATATGCACAAAGAAGGAAATATATCTGATTCCTTGTGAAAATTAAAAGAGAGAACATTGTACTTTAATTGATTTGGTAATTTAATTTCAAGAATGACAACATGTACGATCTGTTACCACAAGTGTAAAATTTGTCCATTAGCTACTGTTTATTATGTTTATGGTTGAACTGCATCTTTGAACTTTGTCAACCAGTCATGATTTACTTCTTAAGCTGTGTAAGAACCTTCTTGTAATTGAAAATTGGTCTGCCATGATCACGATTTCTACAATATTCTGAGTTCCTGACAAGTTCAAAATTTAGCACATTTGCAGTTTACAATACCCAAAGATCAGGAGAAACAACGATTTTGATTGGCTGATCACAGTTGTCTCCCTTGGGAAAAGTTGGAGAAAGTTCGAAATTGGGAGCAGTAGAATTTAACAAAATCGTGCAATCGTGACAAGGGGTCAAAATCGAGTATTTCACGCCTGAATCGTGCAAGTTGGCAGGTATGACAGGTTAAGAAATTAAAGAATGAAAATTACAAATTTAAGTCTGTTCCAGTTGTATTTCCAACAAGATGATTGAAAATTGTCCGACGGTCACTAACATTCACTTTAAGTATGTAAAATACGGAACCGAGTTCGGAATGCGGATTGGAAGTCTGGTCAATGGTAAAAGAAAATTGACTGCGTCATTTTCTAAAAACGATTGAAAAATGATTTAACACAAAACCAATAAAAAGGGTGCGAACGTAAAGGGTGCGAACGTGAAAGGGGGCAAACGTGAATGGGAGCAAACGTGAAAGGGGGCGAATGGACCCGGATACAAATACTCCACATGGTCAAGTAAAAATCTTACGTCAACTAATGAATCATTTCAACATTAAAATATCATGTACAGGTACAGGTCAGACAGAAATCATACAGTTCTTTTCTCAAAACAAGATTTGAAATGGTTTGGTTGAAGCTTACTCAAGATCATACAGACAACAATTTTAAGTAGTATTGCATTCATATATACATGAGTAAAATCATATGCCCCCACTGCCTCTCAGCATGGGCAAACAAAATATGATGAGAGCCAAATAACATCATCAAACAAGCAGCATATGACAGTAGTTCGTGGTTTGAACGAGGGGAGTTAAATTGAAAGGATGTTAATTACCCTTACCTGAAGGCGTTGGTGGTTTGGCCGAGGGGAGTTAAATTGAAAGGATGTTAATTATCTTTACCTGAAGGTGTTGGTTGTTTGACCGAGGGGAGTTAAATTGAAAGGATGTTAATTATCTCTACCTGAAGGTGTTGGTGGTTTGGCTGAGGGGAGTTAAATTGAAAGGATGTTAATTACCCTTACCTGAAGGTGTTGGTTGTTTGACCGAGGGGAGTTAAATTGAAAGGATGTTAATTACCCTTACCTGAAGGTGTTGGTGGTTTGGCCAAGGGGAGTTAAATTGAAAGGATGTTAATTACCCTTACCTGAAGGTGTTGGTGGTTTGGCCAAGGGGAGTTAAATTGAAAGGATGTTAATTACCCTTACCTGAAGGTGTTGGCGCACAATACTGATTGCGTATATACAACATACTGGCTTCCATGTCATCATCTTCTTCTAAAGTAAACTTTGGAGACTCCTCCTAAAATATTGTAGAATATTAATATTGTAACTGACACACTTAAATAAATTCTTACTCTTGGTTTACAATTTGTTTCTGATTTAATTTGAAATAAGCTAGATCAAAAGGTGCAGAAAAACTCTAAAAATCTAAAAGAATTTTACCCACTAAATTCACCAGAAAATTGATGAACGACTCAAATGGCCAGGTTGTGCAAAATGTTTCTTAAACAATGGAGAATGTTCAATAGTGAACATTTAAATATTTTAAAAAATGACTAAGTTCAAAAGTCTGGAAAAATGAGAAAAAAAATTCTCAAACTCTTCCATAAAAGCAGGTGCAAAATTTCAACATATGTGCAATCTTCCTGTAAAGTGTCAGGGATCGGGGTTGAAAACTGAAGGAAGAATTGATTACACAAAACTTGTACCATCTTTCATAAATTTTGCTGAAAAATGACTAAGTTCCCAAGTCTGGAAAAATGAGAAAAAAAATCCTCAAACAATTTCATAATAGCAGGTGCATAACGTCAACATATGTGCAATCTTCCTGTGAAGTGTCAGGGATCGGGGTTGATAATTGTAGGAAATTAGGTACATACTCCCCCTGACAAATATCTACCATAATGTTTAGCAAGAGTAAAATGTCTTTTGTTTTTCAATCTATAAGAAACTAAAAGAATTAGCCCTCATATAAAACTGTGGCAATAGCTGTACAGATAGTACAATCAAAACTATGACCATATTTATGCAAACATGTTTATCAAAATGAATTCACTAATATATAATACCAAAAACTTACTATTTCTTGTGACATGAGAATGTCACTGGTGTTACTGTTAGACATCTGTTCAATCAATTTATCTACAAAAGAAACAGCTTACTTCTTTACAATACAGAATGGAAGTGAATGTAATATATATAGTGGATATAGAGCAAAAATCATATGAACATGAGTGCACACTCTGAAATGTCTTGCCAGCTTTACTTATCAAGATTGAATTAATGTTCAAGGTCTTTAAGAAAAATGGCATACAAAATTATAAGCCTAGTACCTTTGATAAGTTTTTTTTAATTATGCTTTCCCAGAATAAAATATCAATTACTGCACCTCCAACAGATTTTGTATAAGACTTCATAAGCAGTCTCAGAAAAAAAATAACTTGTGCAACACCAACAGTATAAGTATCAACAGGATGAATGAACATGCATGAACCTTTTGCCACTGGACATTAAGCAACCAACAATCAATCAATCAATCAATCAACAGGATGCAGGACCATAAGTGTTAATAACTTGATAGCAATATATATTTAGTTTGTTACCTACCAATCTCTTCTTGCTGACTTATTGGTGAGGACCAAGCTCCAGATGTATCATTTTCAATACTAATATGTGGTGTATGTGGTGGAGATTTGCCCAAACTACTTCCCAGTCCTGATGTAGTCTTTGGTATTGATCTAGGTGTTGTCATGAATGGCGCTGTACGTTGAACCTGTGGTGTGTAGTATGGTGCAGTTGGTGGCAGTGGGGATGTCTGGTCTGTGCTTACATTGGCTGTATTTGGATCTGACCTGCTTCCTATGGCAAATTGCTTCCTTTTAGTTGCTGGACTTAGATCTAGGTACAATTTGACATGATTGGTCTTTTTTACAGAGATGTCTCTGGTTCTAGTCTCATTCTCCATACTCCTGCTTAGATTTGGTTGTAAGAGATTAACTCCTTCTCCTGAACCAAACAAAATGTCATCATCAATATCATCTTCTTCTGCGATAGAAAACATTGAACTGACAATGGAAGGAGAAGTGGATGTGGGTCTCTGAAGAATTTCAACTTTCTGATCCACTGAGCTAGAACTTACAGATGATTGGGGAGACAATGTATTACTGTTTGGAGCAATTTCTGTTAGTGTAGAGTTTTCTGAATCTTTATGGTCCTGCTGTGTCCTTGAAATGACAGGACATGAAGTTCTTTCATAAAAAACAGTCAAGTTAGGAACATCAAGAGAAGATTTGGTCATTTGATCTATTATTTTCTCCTGTGAAACCTCACTCTGACTACTGAAATAACTATCAAATGATCGATTATGAGATTCTGTTCTTGATAACTGATGGGACAGGATCTTATCATGGAATTCATCAACAATGGCTTCTGTTTCCATCTTCTCTACTCTTTCCTCTTCTGTCAATACTTTAGGAAAAAGTAAAGCAAAATTAGGCAGATCAGAATGAGGCTGGGCTTCAAATTCTAAGTCACTCTGACTGACATCAGAGTCTGACGACTTCTTTTCAGTTGTAGATTCACATTCTTCTAGTCCTACTGAGTTAAATGTAATGGCTCCTATATCAAACATGTACTCTTCAAATAGATTATCTGGTGGTTCTGTTTCTTGGAAGTTTACTTGTTCTGGTAATGACAGACCAAAATCTATAGCTAATCTTTGTACATGGTTATTTATAGAAGAATTAGTTTTATCACCTGTCTTTTCTAAATCACCTGTATTTTCTAACGAATCATTTTCTTCAGGTTCTTTCTTCTTTGCACTTATCACAATCTGTTTTGGAATTTCAGAGTCATTTGAAATACGGATGCTTTTGAGATCCTCTTCAATTTCTTGGACAATGTCAACATTTTCTTCCTTAGCAGATGTCGGTGTTTCTAACTTTGTATCATTTAGTTGACGTACAGATGAAGTTTCTAACTTTGTATCATTTAGTTGACGTACAGATGAAGTTTCTAACTTTGTATCAGTTATTTGATGTACAGATGAATACAAAGTAGAAAACAAAATTTCGTGGTTATTATCATCTGAAATTACAACAGTGAACTTAATTATTTCAGTATCAGTATCACTTAAAAACGATTTTGTATGAACAAAATTAAATATAAATTGAAAAGCATTGTTGAGTTCTGAAATATTTAAAAGTGTTTCAGGCTTTAAATTATATATTTCCTCAATCATCTTCTTAATTTAATACCCCCTGAGCTATGTACTTAAATGCATATTAGATATTGTTTATTATAAACTGTTATCACAGAGATATGTCTCTTTTTTTTTGTAATTTTGATTATGCAAATGTTGAAATTAAAATGGCAATACTTTACAAGTTAGGCTAATATTCAAAGTCAATGAACCATGACTGAGGTACATGGCTAAACTATCTCCATGTAAATGAGATGTGCCAATGCTAATACAACTGCATACCAAATACCATTGACTTATTATAAGTTGTTCCCTTTAAACAAACATAAACACAAACATTAACTTGTAAACTATGTAAAAGTTTCAAAGTCAATGAACCATGAAGAGGGGGTGGAGCTATATAATCTCCATGGAAACGATACTTACAAATGCCAATAAATTTGCATACCAAATATCATTGACTTAACATTAGCAGTTCATCTTAAACTGATCTTATCACAAACTAATACATGTAAACTAAGCAAAAGTTTCAAAGTCAATAGGCCATGACTGAGGGGATGGGGCCAAATATTCTCCATTGAAATGAGATGTGCTAATGCTTATACAACTGAATACCAATTAACATTGGCCTACCACTAATGGTTCCCCTTGAACTGACCTAATTACAAACTAATACATGTTAACTAAGCAAAATTTTCAAAGTCAATAGACCATGACTAAGGGGGCTGAGCCAAATAATCTCCATGGAAATGAGATATGCCAATGCTAATACAACTGTATACCAAATATCATTGACCTACCACTAATGGTTCCCCATAAACTGACCTAATCACAAACTAATACATGTAAAATAAGCAAAAGTTTCAAAGTCAATACACCATGACTGAGGGGGCAGGACCAAATAATCTCCATGGAAATGAAATGTGCCAATACTAATACAACTGTATACCAAATATGATTGACTCTGTCAAGCGAGACAAAAACTCAAGTGTTACTTCATGCGTAAATACATGATTTCTGGTCTTCATGAAGTTATATGTTGTATTTGTGGCAGTATTTGTGAAGCACTTAAGCTTTTATCTAACACATTACAGAAAGTACCTTATATTATGTAATTGTGGTAGTATATGCGAAGCACTTTCATCTATCACGTTACATAACCTACCTAATATTCTGAATGCTCTGTGTTGAAGAAGTTGTTCTGCACCTGGTCTTTTGGCTGGATCTTTATTAAACCCTTCACCTATTAACTGGGAAACTTCAACACTTATATTTGATGGGATATCAGGCTCTTGTTCAATTATCTGTAAAAGATAGCCATCAATGTACATATAACATATGATGTTACTAGACATGGACAAACTGTTTACACAAATACTAACCCTTGAAGATTATTTAAAAAAAATAATGTATTCTTTGGAACTTATAAACTTTTTTGTTACAACTTCACAATTAAGTAATAGCTTTTCACAATTTTGTAAGATCTCATAAATTTCTTAAATTTTTTAACCTGAAAGGAATAGTTTTAAAATATAAGCAACTTGTTAATACTGTTTGTATTTTCTTCTTAAAGTCTGAAAAGTTGTTAAACAATGTTGTCCTAGGTAAATGACATATCACTAAAAACCATGCAGGACATAAAAATTATACTGATAAAAAATACAAACAATTTATAGCATTTGGAGTGTTCTGTAATGGAAGAAACTGACTTACAACATATAACAATGCTCCAATATTTGGATATTTCCTGACCCAAGGTGGATAACCAGTTAACATATGGACAAGTACACATACAGCTGACCATAGGTCAGACTTATAGCCATGGCCTTCACCTCTGGCTTTTTCTGGACTGAATACAATTTGTGATCCACTAGGTGTCGCTCCTCGTTTGTCAGTGCTACTCGTTAACTTTCTAGCCACCCCAAAGTCTGTTATTACAACATCTTTTGTACCACTCCTTACGAGTATGTTATCAGCTGGAATTATAATAACATGGGCTACTTGTGTTGACCTTTGGTTCATATATATATATACATATATAGCACGCATGAACTATTTTAAATATTACATTTAAACTGATATACTCGTATTTTGGCATAAATATTCCAAAATTATAATCTATTGAGAAATATATACAGTTTATGGACAACAACTACTTCTTTTTTTAACTCAATATTTTTCTATAACAAATATAAAAAGAATTTTGTGAAGGAATTGTGGTTGGATATTCACAAACCTGATGGTGAAAGAAGCACAATTGTCTGAAGCGTATTTCTTTATTTTATCTCCAATTCTTTTTCTTTTGATATCAGCAAAAGACAATCTTATTTTGATGTACCTGTCCCAAGTCAGGAACCTCGTCCGTAGTGTTGTATTATGTCATATGTAAATATTTGTTGTTCTTTTGAAAATTAGATGTTAAAGGCAGAACTTTGATTGTTTCTGTTAAATTTATTCACAAATTTTAAAAGACTCTGAACAATCTAGACGTATGTTATGGACACCTGTTTATTTGAAGACTGTATGTTGTACTAAAGATGTCATTTAGTTACTTTTGTTCTTGGGTTGCTGTCTCATTGACATTTATCCCATATTTCTTTTTTTTCATGATCTGGTTGATATTTTTAATACTGACCTGCAGAAGGAAAACAAATTTTAAGTACACTTTTCGACGATGTAAAAAAAATCAAACTGAAAACATGATCATACCTTTCAAATCTTCATGAATGACATATCTTCTTTGTAGGTAAACAAGAGCTTCCAGAATCTGTTTAAAGTAGTTAATAGCAGTTATCTGACTAATTCTATGATTCATAGATCTCTGCATATTAATTGTTTCTGTCAAGCAGCCACCTGTAAATGCAATGTTATTCATTAATTATAAACTACCATTTATATTTTTGCTTCTACAATTTAATATCATAGACTTCCACTTATCTATTCTCTTTGATCACTGTAGATACAAAATAGAGAAACACAGAGTTGCCAGTTACACAAATAACATCACTTTTCATATATGTTTAATTACTTTAAATAAAATAATGGTGTGACTACCAATGTCACAACTTCCAATCAAAGACATAAAACACTAGAAATTAGTTTAAAGCCTCCTACTTTCTTCCTTACTCATTGTTCTGACAATGTTGTTTCCAATAAACATTCATCAATCATTTTTTTTTTCTTTTTCTGAAAGTTTTTTTATGAAACATGTTCATATGATTAGGTCCTATAACTATATGCAACAAGAGAGTAAATTGGTGCACGCACCAAATGTTTGGGCCGGAAGTAAGGAGGTTTTTGGTGTTAAAAAGTGCAAAATGCTTATATAAACAATCTGTATATTGAGTTGACTTGAATTCTCAATTGCCAGAACTGTTCCAATCCAATTTACGCAAATATGAGTCACGCATTCTGTGCATTAAAAAACAATGAATATTCATTGTTATAAATATATTTAATTTTTTTTTTTGGCATCTTCTTCTTTCATAAAGATTAGTGAAAATGTATTTATTTTAATTACCTAAAATCTTTAATTTTGCATATACAGAAAAGATCCACAGATAATCATGTAACAATCTCAAACCCATATCATATGATGGACCGGCTTAGTGCCGGCCCATAATTAACTGGTATGACTTACCATCAATAAACTCTGACAAGATATAGATTTTTTCTCCTCTTCTCAAGGTTCCAATAAGCTGTACAATGTTAGCATGTTTTAATTCACTCCAAATCTCTAGTTCATTCACTTCATATTTCGAAATGTGAATCTGCAAAAAAAAAAACCCAAACAAAACGGTTAAGTGTTGTTTCCATGGTTTGTATGATGGGGTTTAATTTGAAATTCTAGGAATTGATTTAATTTCATGGCATTAAGTACAGGAAACAAAAATATACCTGACAATATCACTAACATTCAGGTAATATCGAACTCAGTTTTTCATTCTTACATTTTCTTCAGAAAATGCCTGTGCCAAGTCAGGAATATGACAGTTGTTTTCAATTTGTTCGATTGGTTGATATGGTCTAATTGTGATTTGATCAGTTTTAATCCTTTCATAAGCCCTATTTTGTTCCTATGGGCAGGGATACAGGGAATGACCACATATGCTCTCTTATCTATTTCAACTGAATCTACCCCTTATGCTACCATGCCCTGTAAGGATATTCAAACATAATTTATATATAGTATACAGTACAGGTTCAAGTACAGAAGAAACATTCAGCTTATGGGCTCCTAACTCTTTAACTTATTTTGAAAATAAACTAGACATCATTGAGATGGGAGCCATCACTGTGGGCTCCGCTGTAAATAACGTGTGGTAAAAAATTTGTATGGATGAGCTGATATGAAGCACTTTTTTAATATATTACATTGTCTCATTGTGTGCTGAGAATGATTTTATTCTATGTTTTTTAGTTAAAGTGTTATATTTGGCAATTTAATTAAACTGATAAATATCCTGAACTTACTTTCATTGTATAATAGTGATATGACTGCATGGTGTGAATTGACATGGGGTTGTCAACTGAAACCAAAGTTTTTGACCTTGAAAACCTAGGAAGTTGCACATACATTATGACACACCCTCTAGTGTTGGTTAATATACATGTCAAGTATAAACTTTGAAATCATAACGGTTCTCAAGATATAGAGTGAACAAGATCTGTACCATAGGACATGGGGTTGTCAACTGAAACCAAAGTTTTTGACCTTGAACTTTGAGCTAAGAAGTTGTAAAAGCATTATGACACACCCTCTGGTGTTGGTTAATATACATGTCAAGTATAAAGTATGAAATCATAACAGTTCTCTAGATATAGAGCAAACACAATTTGTTACGGAAGGACGGACGGACAGACAGACTGATCACTATAGGGCAACCCACCAGAAGGGGGGCCCTAATCAATAAAGTGTTTCCCTAAAAGTCTCTGTCCTAATAGGGTTAACATATTAGTTCAATCTAAGAATTATAGTACCTTCTTAATGCAAAATTTGTAATCTGTATTGAAGTCCATAGCCAGGTGACACTTGCCAGACGTACCACTACCCAGATGTGATAATCTCACCCACTGGAAATTCTTACTGTATCTTGTCTTCAGTATTTTTATTCTGTCCTATAAAATATCATGTTTTCCACTTAAAATATCACCTATTCAACTCTTATATGAAAATTTTATTTCAACAACGAACACCATAAATGTATAAGATTAATCAGTGTTAAAGACATCAACTTTAGAACTATTGTAACTAGAAAGTATTGCAAAAGAAAATTCCAACTAAAATACTAAAAAAAAACAAAAACATATGTTTGTAAAGAAAACCTTAATGTTACCAAAATATCATCTTGAAATTACATATTATTTTAGCAGCAACCAATTATAGAAATTAATAAAGTGACTGCATTATTGTTAATTATCTATGATGTCAGTATTATGATATAATTATTCTGTTATTAACATCCTTTTATATCATAAGTATGCTTTGATGTTTTACTTTTTCCTGATTTTATAATTTACCTGAAACTGAGGAAGTATCACACCTTCTTCTCTAGTGTCATATTTTTTCCCATTTTTCCATTCCTTTTTCATATCAAACCAAATCCTGGCAGGACCCAACAAATATGACCTATCACCATAAATTACGTCCTGTATCCCTGGTATTCCTGTTGGTCTATCAACCAATGACTGGTACCTTTCCCCTATTTCTGGCCGTCTACCATACTGCATACTAATAACTCTGTCATCAGATTGACAATACACACGACTTGGCAGCGAAACGTATTCCTGATTATTACCACCTGATGCCAGTTCTAAAGATTCATCTCTCACCACAGGTAAAGAGGTATGAACACTGGAATCTGATGGTAACTGATAAGCCTCTGGAGGAAGATGAATACTGGAATCAGGTGTACGACTAGGTACAATATAATCTGCTGGAGGGAGGGTTTCATATAGGTGGGTGTCAGGATAAAGGGGATAGTCAGTGCTGTCTGTAAATATATCTCTTGGAAATGGTCTGTCTATTGTGACACTACGATGTCTTGATTTTGTTTGACTTTGTGGAAGAGAGGTAGGTTCATCCAGCTGTTGAAGTCTTTTTGGAAGATTGGATGTCATCATTACAGTGCTACCATCTGGCATCTTTCTCATTAATGGCTCAGACTTGGACACCTTTTTACTTCCTTGTTTTTGGCTTGATGTTCCTCTTTTCATATCCATTCTAAGTTCAGGAATGCTTTCTAGCACTGGACGACTTACTGTACTGAGTCGCTGATGGCGTGGCATATTTAAACTTTTGATACTAGAGATGCTGTCAAGACTTGAAAATGGATCATCATCTGCTGCCTCAGGATTAGCAAACCTTGCCAAATTCTTTTTTAATTTCTTCCATACTTTCTCATTATTGTCTGCTATCTCTGCTCTCTTCAGTTTGACACAAATGATAACTGGACATGTGACATCTGAAGTAAAACTATCTGACAATCCACAGATTGAAACATGCTTTTGTATTAGTTTGAACAAAGTCATACAGATGGAACAGGAATCTTGGTATCCCATACTGCATGAACCAAAATGGCAAATAAGTGCAGAAAGGTGGGTACAAATATAGCATGTAGTTGTCTCCCCTGCTGATTTAACTAGCATACTTGTCATTAGACATAAATTGATCTCATCAAAGATGTCAGGTGGAACTTTCTGAAAATTAGCAAGAAAATAAAGTATTAAAAAAGATAACAAGAGTGCACATGCTGAAATGTCTCGCCTTCTTTACTAATCATTGATATTATGTTGATAGTCCTAAATATAAAGCTTTATTACAACTGTCACATAAACTTAACATTAACCAAGTAAACTAAACATTGACCAATAAACCATGAAAATGAGGTCAAGGTCAGATGAACCATGCTAGGCAGGCATGTACAGCTATCAATTCTTCCATACAACAAATATAGTTGACCTATTGCTTATAGTTTAAGAAAAACAGACCAAAACACAAAAACTTAACACTGAGCAATGAACCTTGAAAATAAGGTCAAGGTCAAATAAAACCTGCGTGACTGACATATAGATTATAAAATATTTCCATACATCAAATATAGTTGAACTATTGCATATAGTATTAGAAAAAAAGACCAAACTCAAAAACTTAACTTTGACCACTGATCCATGAAATGAGGTCGAGGTCAAGTGAAAACTGCCTGACGGGCATGAGGACCTTGCAAGGTACGCACATACCAAATATAGTTATCCTATTACTTATAATAAGAGAGAATTTAACATTACAAAAAATCTTAACTTTTTTTTCAAGTAGTCACTGAACCATGAAAATGAGGTCAAGGACATTGGACATGTGACTGACGGAAACTTCGTAACATGAGGCATCCATATATAAAGTATGAAGCATCCAGATCTTCCACCTTCTAAAATATAAAGCTTTTAAGAAGTTAGCTAATGTCGCCGCCGCCGCCGGATCACTATCCCTATGTCGAGCTTTCTGCAACAAAAGTCGCAGGCTCGACAAAAACAATTGACATCATACATTTTAGAATCTTAATTATGTCTCACCTAAAAAAAACATTGAAGGAGTTGTTTTAGAAGGTTATCTAAATTATCTTTATAATTTGTAGATTTCTGTCAGTGACGCTTTCACTTAAAAATAAATTTTGAAAAAGAGTCAATATCATCATATTTCTCTCATGAAAGCAAGTTATATAAAAAAAGTATTTCTTGATCAGACATGCTAAATTTATAAGTATTGATTATTGAGAAAAAAAATCTTGTTTTTGACACCAGAATGCATATACATAGGAATGTTCAACATTGTGAGCTAATACAAATTTAAATGATTACACAATTAAAATAATTCCAAACTACTTGATGTGAAATAAATGTTTACCAATTCCCCTGTTTCATTTAACATGAGACCCAGTATGTCACTTAGTTTACTTTCTCCTCCAGACAAACTTCCATGTTTTCTTCGATACTTAAAATTAGTTATCACATCAAGATTTCTGCTGACTCTGTCTTTCTTATCACCATGGTTACCATTATCAAGTGGAGGATCCTCCTACAAAAAGACATTGACATATAAGTCATATAAAACTTAAATTTACATCATGTTTACCATTTTAATGTGTATAGAATAATGCTGTTTTTTATGTTCTATTTATGGTAACAATAACCATTATGGCTTGTTGTTTGCATGAATACGATAAAGACAGGAGGTCTGTCTAAAACCATATGAGTGGCTGGATAGTCAAATTGAAGTAACCTTGTGGGTTACTTTTGCACTAAATGCATGATCAGAACCACTTTTCTTTAGTAAATTGGCCTCCAACTATCTTTCACTACAATAGTTTAAAACTTAAGTCCCAAGTTAGGGAAGGGTTGAGGACTTATAAACATGTTCACCCTGCCACATTCTTAATGTGTCTGTCCCAATTCAAAAGCATGTAATTCAGTGGTTGTCATTGGTTACTGTCTGTTATATCTTTTTTGTTTTGTTTATTGTTTTGATATTTATCAAGCTGTTTGTTTGGATTGTTTCACATTTATCTTGTCAGGTCCTTTTATAGCTGACTATACTGTATGGGTTTTGCTCATTGTTAAAGGATATATGGTGACCTAGAGCTGTTTAAATCCTAGTCATTTGAACTCTGTTGGATAATTGTTTCATTGGACATCATACCACATCTCCTTATAACAATGTCATTACTTTATATACATTAGATGTCAGGACTAAAGATATTGGTCAATAAGATAGATAGATGCTAATAAAATAACATTCCTAATACTAAAAGTCTAATACAACAGTATACAGCTATAAATACCAGTAGTTATTCCAATCCTTCCTTCATTAAAATATGGTAACACCTATGATTAATGACATTTGTTGAAAACAAATTATCTAAAGGCATTAAACTTTATTCAATGTGATTCATGAACCGCAACAAACTGTTTTGTGATACAGAGAAGGCCAGCTTTCAGATGATATTGATATGGACAACTATATTTATGGTAACCTTAATAATAGAATTTAGTTTGTCAAATAGCATTTGAGGTAGAATAGTTTATTTTATATTGTACCAAAAGCTATATCTAAAATAGCCTTATATGGTGAATTTTTCTGATTAGGATATGTTTGATGTTGTAATGACAAGGTAAATGCAGTATACCACTCTGTCAGTTGGGTATACATTTTTTAAATATTAAGCTTACGTTTTCATCTTTGTCTTTTTCATCATCATCTCTTCTGTGTTTTTCTTTTTCTGTTTCTTCTTGTTCATCAGATTTCTGACTCCCACGACTGGTAAAATGACCAGAGTCACTGTCAGTCAACTCATTGGAAGGATTATCTCCCTTTCCCCTTTGTCCATCAGTTGCATTGAAATGGCCTTTAAAAGTCAATTATTGTAAATTCCTTAACAAATTAGATCACTCTAAAGTTTGTAATCGTAAAACATATTAAATAAGGTATTGAAGCTTATCAAAGTAATATAGACAAAAGGTTGCATAAACAATATATTTGAAACTTACTATTTGTTCATTTATATATATAATATTGAGATACATACTGCATACACCAATCATGGCAAGTAAAGTTGTATTACATTAGTACACATAAACAAATAAAACGGTTTCTATTTGACTAAGGTAAATTCTTTATCAATTTAGAAATATATTGGGTTTTTTGGTTGTTTTTTTTAAATATATATATTTTTTTTCATCAATGAAAATTTTGAAAATAAAAAATCTCCAAATTTCTCATAAAAGTAAGTTTTTCTTGTTCTAAAAGTTACCTTCCAATTCTTGGATTTGAATCATTAGCGTCTTCTTAAAAAGGCATTATGTTTATAGTTTAAATGGAAAGTTTGTAAATAATTTTGTCATTTTGTTAATGAGATAAGTTTATGCAAAAGTAAAATTGCACATAAATACCACTAATAACAAATCAAAGTGTCAGAGGAATTAGGTTTGAAAAATATTTTAAAAAGAAACCACATTTTATACAAGTTATACAAGCTACATGAAGCAAATTAACTGCCCAAAAATGAAATTATATTTACTCTCTTTGAGGACACATACCTCCTGTTGATTGTCTTCCGTGTGGTTGCTGTTTTCTTCTAAATGCTCTATGTTCACTTGTGAAATGTGGTCGCAGTTTTCTGCTAACAGCTGTACTTGTGAAATGTGGTGGCTGTTTTCTTGTATATCTTATTCTACCTTCACCTGCATGTTGTGGTTGTTGTTTTCTTGTAAAAAGTCTTTCATATTTACATGTGAGATGTTTCCCTAGTTTTCTGGTGTGCATCTTTTTATACTGACATGTAACATTACCCTCTGTTGATTCATTGTTTCTGAAACTGTTCAATCTAATGGTGCTTCTTTTTCTTACTTTACCTTTACCTTGTTTTTCTGAAGAAAAAATATATATGGTAAGTTTTTAATGTTAAACTATAAATTTACCTGAATTCTTTTTTTATTTTTTTGTGTACCAATTTTAAGAATTTCTAAGATTTTGACAGCATTAATGTTTAAATATATGCAAATTGATGCATGAAGTCCACTTCATATTTTTGGTACTTCTTGAGGAATGTATATGTGTGTGGCATTGTAATATATAGTATGTTGTTTCTGGTATTATTGTGATAAGCAATAAAGCACTGGTTCAATTTACCAATACCAATCCAATAGGAGTTAAATCCTTATTCACTGCATTACATTCAATATCTCTCTATATCATTTATCAGTTTTTGCAATATTGTATTTTTCATAAAATGAGGATGACATATCTTGGTTTCCAAAAATTATTTAAGATTGCAGGACATTTTGTTGGTCCTATTGTTTATCTTTTCTGCATTTGAAATTAAAGGCATTTCCAGATAAAATGTGTCTTTCTGCTAATGGTTTTTCTCTCTTCCCCATTTAGTTTTTGTTAATTTTTGTAATATTAAACAAAAGATCAACATTCCACAAAATAGAAGTTAAACAGAAGAAAAAAACAAGTAAAAGGTAAAGATTACCCAGAGTGATGAGACTTTATATGTAGACTTACTTTGTCTTTTAGACTTTGTGAAATGTATTTTTTTACAGCTGTCACATGACTCATGTTTTGACAGGATTTCTGTCTTGTCACTTTCTTTTTCATCTTTCAAAACTTCTTCTTCATTACATTCTACTGCAAAAGATTTCTCCATTACATCTTTTGTTTCTTGTGCATTTTGTTTCACTATTTTTTCCATTTGATCTTTAACACAGCTATCAGTCATCTGGTCCAAGTCATACTGTACTCCTTCCTCTTTCATCTGGTCCATTTCATACTGTACTCCGTCCTCTTTCATTGGGTCCATTTCATACTGTTCTCCTTCCTCTTTCATTGGGTCCATTTTTTCTCTTTCATAATAATCTTCTTTCTCTTCACCACAAACCTGAAGGAGTTTCTGACTCTCTTTCTGACAGGATTCTTTACTATTGGTGTTTGTCTGGTCCATTTTACACTTTGATTGCTGTGTTTTGATAATGAATTCCATAGCCTTTTGGACCTGATCTACAGTAAATACCCCATCACTTATCAATCTAAGGAGTACATCTAATGTACCATTCTTGTTCCTACAACAGAAACATGTACATGTACATTGACTTACTAACCAACAGATACATGTACATTGACTTACTAACCAATCTGTATAGAATATAAAAAAAGACATATTAGACCCTTTATTATTGTCTGCTTTATAAAAGTATTTAACATTTTGTTTTTAGGGACAAATTGCGATTTAGTATACATACCTATACAAGAGTTCACATTACATCTATCTTTAGTATACATAACTATACAAAAGTTCACATTACATCTATCTTTAGTATACATACCTATACAAAAGTTCACATTACATCTATCTTGAGTATAAATACCTGTACAAGAGTTCACATTATATCTATCTTTAGTACACATACCTGTACAAGAGTTCACATTATATCTATCTTTAGTACACATACCTTTACAAGAGTTCACATTATATCTATCATGAGTATAAATGTAAGACATAATAGTGTCCTGTGAAAAAGTGTCCGCCTGGACAGTTTTTCACAGAATTAAAGTATTAAAAAATGTCCATTGCCATGAAATTTTGTCTCTTAAGTGAACAAAATTTTACATCAACAGTTATGAAATAGTGTCCTCCCACAGGACAATATTTCATAACAGTTGTTATCTAATTATGTCCTCCAAGGAAATTAAATACAAAGGTCATCAAAATGTTTTATCATACTTGAATTTTAATTTATTTAGAAAGGTGTATTAGAAATAGGTGAATTTGAACATAAAAATGGATGGCAGTGAATACCGAAAAATTTACAACTATCTAAGTTCAAAGAAATATCCCTAAAAAGTTCAATGAAAATGTCAGGCGAACAAGTAGAAGAAAATGTCAAAATTATTAAATCAAATTGGAGGAGTTATATCATATTTATAAGGACAATTGTGTTCGGGACAAATTAAAATAGGTAAATATCGTCCATGGACATTATTTACAATGAAAAAATGTCCAGAGTAAAGAATGCTCAAGATTAGGTACAGACACAAAAGAAAGAGATGGAGTTAAACTTTATTTCACGGGGGACATTCATAAATCCTACATTATCACACTTACTGTTCAAGGACCAAATTTAATGGTTAAAAGTGTCCAGTGGCACTTTTTCACAGCTAATGACATTTTTACATAGGTAAATTGTGCCCAGGACACATTAAAATAAGTAATAAATTGCTTCCCTGAGCGCAGCTGGATACGACCGCAGATGCCCAACCCTGAAAAGTTGGGGCCAAAATGGACACAATATTCACACTTGATACAGGTCTGAATTTGGATTGTAATTAAATTTTTGACACATAATAGGTTTCTGACACAGCATTACTGTAGTCAAAGAACTTCAAATTGGTTATACGATTTGAATTTATATTCAATTTTTTTGCTTTTGTGCAATACACTATGCGAATTGACCTCCTCCTCCTCCCCCCCCAAAAAAAAAAAAAAAAAATTTACCCCGTTTTTTTGCGTTTGTGCAAGACACTATGCTGTTGAATATTAACCCCCCAAAAAAAAATATTTGAAGCAATTTTCTTTTAATTTCTGAAATCAGAAATGAGAAAAAATGTCCCCCTCCAATTTTTTTCACCTCCCCCCTTTCCCTTATTCCAAAAATATTTCTTTCCCTCAAGTTATGGTCAGTATCTCAGACAATCATCATTTCTTAATACATAATTTACAAGCAGTGTAAGGGAGGTAATCAAACATTATTATTTAAATTGATTTGGATTTTGATTTGGATTACCTCCCTTACACTGCTTTTAAATTGTCTCAATTGTCCTTTAACCAGAAAAACCCGTTTTTCCCCTTTTTTTGCCCCTAATTCCTAAATGGTTTGAGCCATAACCCCCCAAAGTCAATCCTAACCATCCCTTTGTAGTATGGAAACTTGTGGTATAATTTCAGAGAGATTCATACACTTTAACACAAGTTATTGTTTGGAAACTACAAAAATGATTATTTGGGCCCCTTTTTTGGCCCCTAATTCCTAAACAGTTGGGACCATAACCCCCAAAATCAATCCCAACCTTCCATTAGTGGTTATAGACCTTGTGTTAAAATTTTATTGATTTCCATATACTTATATTAAAGTTATTATCCAGAAACCATCTGTCTTAGGACGACGCTGACGACGACGACAACGTGATACCAATATACGACCAAAAAATTTTTAATTTTTGCAGTTGTATAAAAATTGTCCATGGACAGTATTAACTATGAAAAAATGTCCAGCCCAGCGGACATTATTACATGGTGGACATTATAAAATTCTACATAAATACCTGTACAAGAGTTCACATTATATATATCTTTAGTATACATACCTATACAAGACTTCACATTACATCTATTTTTAGTATACATACCTGTACAAGAGTTCACATAATATCTATCTTGAGTATAAATGCCTGTACAAGAGTTCACATTACATCTATCTTGAGTATAAATACCTGTACAAGAGTTCACATTATATATATCTTTAGTATACATACCTGTACAAGAGTTCACATTATATCTATCTTTAGTTTACATACCTGTACAAGAGTTCACATTATATATATCTTTAGTATACATACCTGTACAAGAGTTCACATTATATCTATCTTTAGTATACATACCTGTACAAGAGTTCACATTATATATATCTTTAGTATACATACCTGTACAAGAGTTCACATTATATCTATCTTTAGTATACATACCTGTACAAGAGTTCACATTATGTCTATCTTTAGTATACATACCTGTACAAGAGTTCACATTATATCTATCTTATGTATACATACCTGTACAAGAGTCCACATTATATGTATATGTAAGAGAATGATAATCCCTTTCTTCATGATTAAGTACGAGCGTTAGTGAGTACTTATCATGAAGTAAGGGATTATCATTCTCTTACAAACTTAGAATATTGTAAAGTGCTCAAGGCTCAAATGATCTCTTGATTGTTTGTATTCAAGAATTAGTGTCATTGTCAGTGCAATGTTTATAATTGATGCATGACTTCCTTTTTCGGCATTTCATTTATGGATTAGTTTTAGTGATGTAAGGACATTCTTATAATTTGGGAAATATTAAAAAAAAAAATGTATTATAGACATTAGGTGACACAACAGTACAAAGAAAAGGTAGGAATTGTATATGTTTCCTGATTGTGAGTATGAAAGTAATTCATGTAATATTTTAGTGAGGAATTATCCTTTTTTTATTTACAGTTTAAATCAATAAATACACTTGAGTTACAACTAATTTTATTCCATAGCCAATATTTTGGTCCGGCTTTTTAAATCAAATACTATTTCATTATGTCAGGGGAATGTTCAAATAAAATGTCTTTAAAAGTTTTAAATATACCCAAAACTTAAAATAAATTCCTATTTTTTTTCATTTTATTGGAATATTGGAAATAACTATTCTTCTCAACCACTAGTCCAGTAATCAGAGTTTTGGAAAGCTAAAGATTTAGGTGGTTTTTGATTTTAAAACTTTTTTTCTCTTTCTTTCTTTTTTTGCATTGCTTTGATATTGTTTAATTTTTTAGTAATTTGAAGTTATTAATTTTTTCATAATAACATTAAAGGTACCAGTATTACAGCACCAGTAGACTTCAACTTATTTTGATTTTTTTGTCTCACAATTTAACTTTAAGTCAGTTTCAATCACTGTGTGATAAATCCTTTCAATCTGATAAATTTGCTTCGGGGCAGTTGTAAACCATTTATAGAAACTCTTTGTTTTGAACTGTAAATAGACCCAAATAATAGGATAATCCCTTACTAAGAACATGATTTACATTCATTCTTCACAATTAAGAGACATCAAATCCTACAATTTCATTGGTCGAGAGCACTTTGCTATATTCTAACTAATTTAGTATACATACCTATACAAGAGTTCACATTATGTCTATCTTTAGTATACATACCTGTACAAGAGTTCACATTATATCTACCTTAAGTACACATACCTGTACAAGAGTTCACATTATATCTATCTTGAGTATACATACCTGTACAAGAGTTCACATTATATCTATCTTGAGTATACATACCTGTACAAGAGTTCACATTATATCTATCTTGAGTATACATACCTGTACAAGAGTTCACATTATATCTATCTTGAGTATACATACCTGTACAAGAGTTCACATTATATCTATCTTGAGTATTCATACCTGTACAAGAGTTCACATTATATCTATCTTGAGTATTCATACCTGTACAAGAGTTCACATTATATCTATCTTGAGTATTCATACCTGTACAAGAGTTCACATTATATCTATCTTGAGTATACATACCTGTACAAGAGTTCACATTATATCTATCTTGAGTATACATACCTGTACATTCCTTTTATAAGTGCCTTTGTCTTAAGATCACCAAAACCTTGGCGTTCATCTTTAGATAGATCTCTTTTTTCACTATATTCCTCATGTTCCATTGGCTGAGCACATGTTTGTTTTACATTAGTTTCACTACGATGGCGATGACGTGTGTGGTAGGTTAACTGACAATGATGTGTGCTGTAGGTCTCACTAACAGGTTGCTGTGGTCTGTTGTAAGCAACAACAAATAATTATCAGTGGTATTTCTATAAATTGGTTTGTTTAAAGGTCATAAATAATAAATTTTCATTGAAAGTCATTTATTGTTATTGTTGGGGTAAAGTGTTTAAAGAATCTCCACTTTCATTTTGGACTCTTCGGGCACAGTACTGTTATTCCTTTTCTAATATTGGCAACTCTTTAAACACTTTTGTTCTTTTATGTACCTTTTGCATATACTGTAAACCAACTTATTTTGGCGGATACTTTATTTCGCGTTTCGCTTTTTCTAGCTCACTTTGTGGCGATTAAAATTAGCGATTTTCACTCTTCTTGATGTATTTGAATTAGGAAAGATCCAAAGCTCCACATTTGCGACAATTCATATTCGTGCTATTTTTCTACTCGCGAAAATATATCGCTCGCGAAAATTAGTTGGTTTACAGTACTTTGTTCTTTTATATATCTTTTGTAACTTATATATTTATACTTTGTTCTTTTGTTTACATTTCATAACCCAGAGATAGATATTATAGGAGAGGATAACATGAGAAGTTTATCAGTGGTTGTCTTAAATTAAATCTTAACATTTTTAGGCCTTGATAACATTGCAGTTGATGGCAGTTGTTTATTAAGAGTCATTTATATAAATTCAAAGATTCTAGACTCTGGTCAACATTTTGTGTGTATGTGATTTACTGTCTCACTGATGTATACCTTTAAATTCCTTTTTATTCATTGTAATAATCTAAGTTTTCTTAAAAAAATAAATGTGGATAGTGTCCACATGTGGACACAGATGATGCCCCCGCTTGCATATCATATAGTTATAAAGGGACATAACTGAAGAACAGTAAAAGTGATGCTACCCAAATTTGAACTTGATCTGAGTTTTGTGTGTAAGTCTCATAACATTTGGTTGAGGCTAACTTAAGTAGAGAACAGAAACTAAAAATTCAGCAATTTTTATATTTATAAAGGGGCATAACTCAATAATGGTTAAAGTGACACTACCCAAATTCAACTTGATCTGTGTTTTATCAGTGGAAGTCAAAAATAAACATTGCATTGTATAAAGCATTCATTGTAGTTGATTCAACTATAATCATGGACAAAGGAAGATAACTCCAATTTTAAAAATAACTTGATATTTAGAAGAAAATAAAAATTTTGCAATTTTTTCCATTTATAAAGGGGCATAACTCTAGAAAGGTTAAAGTGACGCCACCAAAATTCAAACTTGGTCTGTGTTTTGTGGTAATAAGCATTGTGTAAAAGTTTCATAACATTTGGTTGAGGCAAACTTAAGTTAGAGAACAGAAACTAAAAATTTTGCAATTTTTCCATTTATAAAGGGGCATAACTCTAGAACGGTTAAAGTGACGCCACCAAAATTCATACTTGATCTGTATTTTGTGGTAATAAGCCTTGTGTATAAGTTTCATAACGTTTGGTTGAGGCAAACTTAAGTTAGAGGACGGAAACTAAAAATTTTGCAATTTTTCCATTTATAAAGGGGCATAACTCTAGAACGGTTAAAGTGATGCCACCAAAATTCATACTTGATCTGTGTTTTGTAGGTAATAAGCCTTGTGTATAAGTTTCATAACATTTGGTTGAGGCTAACTTAAGTTAGAGAACGGAAACTAAAAATTTTGCAATTTTTCCATTTATAAAGGGGCATAACTCTAGAATGGTTAAAGTGACGCCACCAAAATTCAAACTTGATCTGTGTTTTGTGGTAATAAGCATTGTGTATAAGTTTCATAACATTTGGTTGAGGCAAACTCAAGTTAGAGAACGGAAACCAATTTTGGGACGTACGGACGGACGTACGTACGTACAGACGGACAAGGGTAAAACTTAATGCCCCCACCGCTACGGGGGGGGGGGGGCATAAAAAAATATCATCTAGACTTACTTAGGAAAACCTCCTTTGGTTTCCTCGACCAATGAAGCTTGAGATTTTTTATCTTCACATTTGAAATAATATGCCTCTATTGTCAGTTTTGTCAATTTACTGAAATCTTCCAGATCCTTCTGAGAAAATTTTCCTGCGTATGGAGGTTTTGACTGTTTAGCATTCTCTGTAGATTTACCATGACCAGCAACTGGATAGATAACATTCAAGTCTTTTCTCTCTCCCATTTCATGACACAGTTCTTTTTCATTCCCTAACTTATCTTTTGACTGTTTTGAATAATTGGTTTCATTATTCTTTTTTCTTTTTTCTTCATGTTCAACCTTGGATTTTAATGCACCCTTGTACAATGATTTTGATTCTTGTCGTCGCTTGCTTTTACTGTTTCTATATATTTGTTTTGACCTATCAATTAATGTTTTGACGTTTGGCCCATAGTTTGTCCAATTATCAGCCTTGCTTTCACACTGTAATGTCATATCTAAGTCTGGTATTAGGCTTAAACTGTAGTTCTTCCCTTCCTTCTGTAACTTTTTGTTTCTTTCATCATTTAGTGATATGTGTGAAGATATGCTTTGCAAACTTTCTTCTTCTAAACCCATATCTGAAATATAATAATCAAGAATTAAAGTGATATGTACTCTCCTAGTGATCCATGGGAAGGATCCTTAATACCAGCTTTTAATAATCAAGAATGACGGGACTCACAGGAGATATGTACTCTCCTACTGATCCATGGGAAGGATCTTTATGCCAGGTTTCCACTCCTACTGATCTATGGGAAGGATCCTTAATACCAGGTTTAATAATCAAGAATAACAGGAGAGACATGTACTCTCCTACTGATCCATGGGAAGGATGCTTTATGCCAGGTTTAATAATCAAGAGTTACAGGAGACATGTACTCTCCTACTGATCCATGGGAAGGATCCTTAATACTAGGTTTAATAATCAAGAGTTACAGGAGACATGTACTCTCCTACTGATCCATGGGAAGGATCCTTTATGCCAGGTTAACACGTACTCTCCTACTGATCCTTGGGAAGGATCTATTATGCCAGGTTTACTCTCCTACTTATCAATGGGAAGGATCCTTTATGCCAGGTTTACATGTACTCTCCTACTGATCCATGAGAAGGATCATTTATGCCAGGTTTACTGTACTACTGATCCATGGAAAGGATCCTTTATGCCAGGTTTAATAATCAAGAATTACAGGAGACATGTACTCTCCTACTGACCCATGAGAAGGATCCTTTATGCCAGGTTTACTCTCCTACTGATCCATGGGAAGGATCCTTTATGCCAGGTTTACATGCACTCTCCCATTGATCCATGGGAAGGATCTTATGTCAGGTGTACTCTCCTACTGATATATGGGAAAGATCTTTTATGCCAGGTTTAATAATTAAGAATTACAGGAGACATGTACTCTCCTACTGATCCATGGGAAGGATGCTTTATGCCAGGTTTAATAATAAAGTGTTACAGGAGACATGTACTCTCCTACTGATCCATGGGAAGGATCCTTTATGCCAGGTTTACATGTACTCTCCTACTGATCCATGGGAAGGATCCTTTATGCCAGGTTAACACGTACTCTCCTACTGATCCATGGGAAGGATCCTTTATGCCAGGTTTACATGTACTCTCCTATATATAGCTACTGATCCATGGGAAGGATCATTTATGCCAGGTTTACTCTACTACTGATCCATGGAAAGGATCCTTTATGCCAGGTTTAATAATAAAGAATTACAGGAGACATGTACTCTCCTATTGATCCATGGGAAGGATCTTATGTCAGATTTACTCTCCTACTGATCCATTGGAAGGATCCTTTATGCCAGGTTTACTGCTCATACTGATCCATGGAAAGGATCCTTTATGTCAGGTTTACTGCTCATACTGATTCATGAGAAGGATCCTTTATGTCAGGTTTACATGTACTCTCCTATTGATCCATGGAAAGGATCTTTATGTCAGGTTTACTCTCTTACTGATCCATGAGAAGGATCCTTTATGTCAGGTTTACATATACTCTCCTATTGATCCATGGAAAGGATTTTTATGTCAGGTTTACTCTCCTACTAATCCATGGGAAGGATCCTTTATGCCAGGTTTACTGATAAATAACTTGCCTTATTTGGTTTTAAATATTCTTCGTTTACAATATTTGAAAGAAATTAAAATAGGGAAGGATAAGCTGGTTTGAAATATCACTATTTTCTACCTTTTAAGTTCTTTATTCAACATACTACAACTGAGAATTGTATGGAATATATGATGGACTTGGACTCTGTACATTGTATACCAGTCCTTGCAGGGGCCCTGTATATAACCTACTAACCCATGGATAGTGTATAGAACAAACTTGTCTCTGAGCAGTGTATACAATATAATAGCCCCACAGTACTCCATTAAATATACAGGTCCTTGCATACTGTGTATAATATAATAGACCCTGGGTTCGGAATGGTAAATAGTATCCTTAGTATTATAGTGAATATAACTTGACCCCGTATTAATCATTCTGGTTCCTAATAATTGTATTGAACATGTACTGTTGTAGCTGACTCACTGTGGTACTACAAGAAATACAATAGGCACTGTTGTAGCTGCCTCACTGTGGTACTACAAGATATACAATGGGCAATGTATTACAGTTCTATAAACAATGTATAAACTGTACTGGTCAAAGTGTACTTAACATATTGACCCCAAGGATCCATGGAAAGGATCCTTTATGTCAGGTTTACTGCTCATACTGATTCATGAGAAGGATCCTTTATGTCAGGTTTACATGTACTCTCCTATTGATCCATGGAAAGGATCTTTATGTCATGTTTACTCTCTTACTGATCCATGAGAAGGATCCTTTATGTCAGGTTTACATATACTCTCCTATTGATCCATGGAAAGGATTTTTATGTCAGGTTTACTCTCCTACTAATCCATGGGAAGGATCCTTTATGCCAGGTTTACTGATAAATAACTTGCCTTATTTGGTTTTAAATATTCTTCGTTTACAATATTTGAATGAAACTAAAATAGGGAAGGATAAGCTGGTTTGAAATATCACTATTTTCTACCTTTTAAGTTCTTTATTCAACATACTACAACTGAGAATTGTATGGAATATATGATGGACTTGGACTCTGTACATTGTATACCAGTCCTTGCAGGGGCCCTGTATATAACCTACTAACCCATGGATAGTGTATAGAACAAACTTGTCTCTGAGCAGTGTATACAATATAATAGCCCCACAGTACTCCATTAAATATACAGGTCCTTGCATACTGTGTATAATATAATAGACCCTGGGTTCGGAATGGTAAATAGGATCCTTAGTATTATAGTGAATATTACTTGACCCTGTATTAATCATTCTGGTTCCTAATAATTGTATTGAACATGTACTGTTGTAGCTGCCTCACTGTGGTACTACAAGAAATACAATAGGCACTGTTGTAGCTGCCTCACTGTGGTACTACAAGATGTACAATGGGCAATGTATTACAGTTCTATAAACAATGTATAAACTGTAATGGTCAAAGTGCACTTAACATATTGACCCCAAGGCACAACTGAACACACTGGCCATTGCATACTGGTCCATGGACACTGTATTGTCACACTGTCCCCTGGATAAAACTTATTCCTGCTTACTAAAATGAAATTCTTGTCACTTGGGCATTATAGTTCCCTTACTGACACTTGCACATTGTAGGTCCCTAATTGACACTTGGGCATTATATTTCCCTTACTGACACTTGCACATTGTAGGTCCCTAATTGACACTTGGGCATTATATTTCCCTTACTGACACTTGCACGTTGTAGGTCCCCAATTGACTCTTGACACTGTATTTCCCTTACTGACACCTGCACATTTTAGGTCCCTAATTGACTCTTGAGCACTGTATTACTTTTACTGACACCTGAGGAGTGTATTTCCCTGACTGACCCTAAACACTGTCTCTGCCTTATTGACACTTGTGCATGGTATTTCCCAAACTGACCCCTGAGCACTGCATTTCCATGACTGATCCCTGTATTTCTCTTACTGACACCTGAACACTGTATTTCTCTTACTGACACTTGTCACAATGTGCAGTGTATTTCCGTTAATGATACTTGTGCATGGTATCCCTTACTGATACTTGTGTATGGTATTTCCCTTACTGAAACTTGTGCATTGTATTTCTCTTACTGACCCATGCACTGCATTTTACTGACTGTTACTTGTGCACCGTATTTCCTTAAATGACCCCTGAGCAAAGTTATCCCAGACTGACCTCTGAGTACTGTTTTTCCCTGACTGACCAAAGAGCACAGTATGTCCCTTACGGACCCATGAGCACTGTATTTCCCATACTGACCCCAGAGCACTGTATTTTCTCGACTGACCCCTGAGCATTGTTTTTTCCTTACTGACCGCAAGCACTATATGTTCCCTAACAGACCCATGTATTTCCCTTACTGACCCCTGAGCGCTGTATTTCCCTTACATACCCCTAAGCATTATATTTTCCTCACTGACCTCTGAACACAGTGAACATAACAGCCTTGGTTATTGTATTGATATGAGCGACAGCTGAATACTGATTTGTTAATTTATCTTTTAATCTTGCCATATTTTTTTATTATACATACCTCTATACTCTTGGATAGTACAATATCACATTTCTCTACTGTACTTTATTGGGGGGATTCCTGAAAAATAAACAATATGTTAGGTTACTTGACAAGAAAACCTATCCTGGAAATTTCAGGAAATTCAATTAGAAATTACTTCCTTTTTTTAGATCATTGATTTTGAAAGGAAATTTCTGATAAAATAGACACACCTTATATTGTCAGGATTATGGCTGTTATAAAGTTTCAACATTATCAAGACTTGCATTAATGCTTCAGATATAGACAGGTAATACTGAAACATCTATATTTAGATAATAAGACTTTCAGGGCAATTATTTTACCTACTGGTCCTATGGCAAGCGGTTTTACTATTTATTCTCACTTCAAGATATCTCATATAATATGTAAGATATCTCATATAATATATAAGATATTTTATATAATCTAGTTTTTATAAGATATCTTATAAACTTTATAAGATATCTTATATACTTAACCACTTACACTGTGAAAATACTACCGGTATACACTTTAATTTTGAAAATTATATAAATCTTTAAGAATTCTTTTGAAATAAATTATATATTCTAAAGCAAGATTAGATATCGCTTTGACTTAAAACGGGAAGTTTACCAAAATTGAGGACATTCATAAAGCAATCATGTCATGTCCCCACAAAACACATCAATTTACAAAATATTCGGCATTTTCCTATCTTAATCGGATAAAAAAAACTTTAAGTTTTTACAAATGAAGCAAAAATATTTGTCTGAAGATATCAGTAGTCTGCTGTTTTAATGCAACACTTCCATTATCAAATAAGTTAACTTCGGTTACTGACAGAAACTGGTATTCGACCAGTAGATATTTCTGAACAGAAACTGGTATTCGACCAGTAGATATTTCTGAACAACCTTTCTTTGTACAACATTTCCAATTTAACAGAAAATCTCATGTCTTTATATCATCTGATAGTTCTACCTTACTGCAGTTTTGATTTCATTTATTTACATGTTTTATTTTACATTTTTGGGTCAAAGTATCACAACAGCTTGTTTAAACAAGGAATTATTTGAATCTGGAATAATTTTGAATTCTGGAAAATTGATGAGAAATATATGATGAAAACTTACCCAACTAAATAGGGTTAGCCATGCGCGCATGGCTAAGGTGGGTTAGTTAGTTCATACTGAAATGATAGTGAAAGTAAAATTAACCTTAGCCTAACCCTATTTAGTTGGGTTAGTTTTCATCATACATTTCTAATCAATTTTCCAGAATTCAAAATTATTCCAGATTCAAATAATTCCTTGTTTTTATACACATGTTAGTTTGACCACTGGACATATGAATACGTAAAGACATTATTACAGAACCATACTACACTAAATGGGCAAGAAGATTTTGTAACCCCTAACCCTTAAAGATAATGTACTAAACTAAGCACTGCAAAACCCAGAAATGTGAGAAAACTGAACTCAAGGATCAGGATAGCAAACAATCTTTGTAGTAGCAATTTATCATTTATGATTTGAACCTCTGTTTAGTCATGGAAGACTGACAATCTTATACTTTACACAAGTTTTGCCAAATTGGCGTGTACACTTTACAACATCTCCACAGATTTTGTTTTATTAGTAACAATATATATCTATTTTACTTTTTAGGGTAAGCCAGTTCAAAGTGATGTTTGGTGTCTAGAAAAAGAACATAAGGAATTTCTTATTTATTGTTTTATCGCACAACCAATGAAGACTGAATATTAAGCAAAATAAGTGTTAATTATTCCAACGTACAGTTAGGCTATCATGATGGAACAAATAAATTCAAAAATTTAATTCTAAAGACAATAATATTTATGGAAAATAAGGTCAAAGTCATGTCTTTCCTAACAGAAATGCATACCTTGAAACAAACATTCAATAAACAAAAATATGTTTCCGTAGGACAGCATGCCCCACTCCTCTAATAAGTATTGCTCAGTGATTGAACCATGAAATCTGGGTTAAAACCCATATTTTGCATATATTTAACAAAAATAATGTTACCATTATATATCATATGCACAAAGTTTCAAGTTGACTTTATTGTACTCGCTACAAGATGGACGAATAAACATAATGCCCCTCACTATAACAGGCAGGGCATTTAAACAGATAGAAACTTGAGGGATCATAAAACATTCTTATACAAAATATGGATTGAAATAAAAAGATTTGTACAAGTAGCTTAAAAATGTAACAATTTTATCTGGTTCTTTTCTTCATAAACATTCATTGCAGGTGAGATGAAAGTTATAATATAATAAATTGCTTTGCCAAGCGCAGCTGGATACGACCGCAGAGGTCCAACCCTGAAAAGTTGGGGAAAAAATGGATACAATATTCAAGCTTGATACAGGTCTGAATTTGGATTGTAATTAAATATTTGACACATTATAGGTTTCTGACACAGAATAAATGTAGTCAAAGAACTTGAAATTGGTTATATGATTTGAATTTATATTCATTTGAAGATTTCTTGCTGTTGTGCAATACTTAGTAAATCTGTTTTCAGACTAGATACAAAGAATTAGCAAAATAAATTGTGACCCCCAATTTTTCTTTAAGAAAATTGACAATTTCTGAAAACCTTGAGGGAATAAAAATTGACCCCCCCCCCCCCCCCCCCCCCAGCTCTACTTGTGGTATTGAACCTTGTGGTACAATTTCAATCAAAATACTTATACACTAGTTATTGTCCTGAAACTAGAAAAATGCTTATTTTGGGCCCCTTTTTGGCCCCTAATTCCTAAACGGTTGGAACCATCACCCCCAAAAACAATCCCAACCTTCCTTTTGTTTTATTGAACCGTTTGTTTAAATTTCATAGAGATCCATACACTTAAACTAAAGTTATTGTCCAGAAACCAAATGTCTTCGGACGACAATGACGACAATGACGATGACGACATGATAGCAATATACGCCCTCAAAATTATTTTGCAGCGTATAAAAATAAAGAGATGTGGTATGATTGTCAATGAGACATTACTACCCTCCAGAGTTCATATAAGTGGATATTAGCAATTATAGGTCAATTCCATACCAAATAGTTGGCTATAAAAGGCACACACATATATATATATGTATATATATAAGCACATCTAAACAAGTGACAACTCTACGACAGATCCATCCATTGGATCACCAGTGAAGGTGATACACAGCTGAAAACACATATTATATTCATAATTACTCTAAATATCAGCACAACAATGTTAAATCAGCAAATTTGCGGAAGCAAATTTTTGTTCTTCCCTCGCCGGGATTCAAACTCATGCCATTGGGATATCGAGACAACACTGCCTACACTTTGTCCAGCCCTCTAGACCACTCGGCCACCTAGACTGAACTAAAAATTCAGCTTTCGGTGGCCTAGTGTTACCTTTCCTCGTCAGTAGAATCTAGAGTTGTAACACAGTGCATGATATATTAGGCATGAAGATAGTTAAACAAGCAACACTTTGAAAAGATGCGGACTAATTGTTGTTTCAATCTGACCATTTTATAGAAAGTGTAAACAGAAGGATCTTTATTCTCAATATCATATGGCTCTTTTTTTGGAAAACATCCGCACCATGGCCCAGTCATCAAAGTATAACATCAATGAATTACTTGACGTATGAAATGCATTTCATCTTAACTTACAAATTACTAGTACAAGTATATTTCTCAAATAAAGATAACTGAAAAATTATATTGACATTCTCTTTTAAATGCAGTTTAAACAAAAATAGGTCACACAATAAAAAAAAAAGGCATAAAGACAATTATCTCTGTATAAAAAAAATCTTACCTATAAATTCAGAATATGATATACATTAGTATTTTCGGTACACAATGAACTACGTGGACTTACAACATGAACAAGGAAATTAAACAATAAATTCTCAGTTAAAAATAGACCTGACTGCAAATAAATATAATTATATTTTCTTCTTATAACAAAAAAACACAACAAAATTTTGAAGTGCTATTTAAAACAGATTAAAATGGCAGAGCCAGTTTTGTTTTTGTTAAAAATACAGTGAAACAAACAAGGTGTAAAGCTACGCAATGCAAGAAATACATGTAAAGCTGAAATGAGTAGGGATTATAATGCCTCATATTTTTATTATATAACTGTTTAATGGTAAAACTATATTTTATATACATGTATAATTCATGATTTATAGATTGATACCAAAAATTGCTTTTTAAACTTTACAAGCAAACTTTAAAGTCATATGAAACCGGTTTCTTGAAATTATTATGTTAAGGAAATTATTGAACCAATGCATGTATATATACTAAACTAATATGCACAATTTTATACATTTATTACAAATCTATAATATAAAACATTTCTTTAGGGAAAACTTTCCCCACAAATTAACTTTCGTTTTGTTATTCCGAAGTTTACCAAACATGACCTCAATAAACAATCAACTTAGAATCATGGAGCAAATGAAAAATAAGTGATATGATAGAAATGCAATAGAGTGATGTTTCATTTTTTTTTATATTTTCATGTGTTTCTGTTTGTTAAAAGAAAATCATTTACACATGTTTTATAGTAAAAAAATATTCATTTTTTTTTTATTTGAAGTATCATATGACTTTGGAATAAACTCTTTGAAGGGCATATGAGCTATGATTAAAAAAAAAATTTTGTTTTTGTTTCAAACATTAATATAAGCTATTAGCTGCTTAAAAACATCACTGATATATTATTGTCTCAAATAACAATAAATCGTTCTAATTTGGGTTTCAAATGCATGAAACTTTAAATTTTGACTTTCAAATAGGGACAGGTTGGGAATGTGCTCAGCATGTTCAGTTATTTAAAACAAAAACAAAAATGAGAATGGAAATGGGGAATACATCAGAGAGAAAACAGCCGAAGGTCACCAATGGGTCTTCAACACAGCGAGAAAATCCCGCAACCGGAGGCTGACTTCAGCTGACCCCTTAACAAAAATGTGTACTAGTTCAATGAAAATGGATGTCACACTAAACTCCAAAACATATAAATGAACTAGAATAAAAAAACAT